AAGTACTTACGTAGCTAATTGTCAGCATTTGGGTAGTGAATGTGGTTGAAAGTTTATGAAAAGGTCTATGGATTGCAGTTGTACAGTTGTACCACRGAACACGGAGCGAGGGAATTAAATCACAGCCTTTGAGAATTAAACTTTTCGATGAGTGAGTCAAAAAAAAAAAAAAAAAAGAGCGGTTGAGGCGGAAGATGAAAGTAGTTTTGTGTACAGACATAAAAATGTTATGATTGCCCTGTTTCCAACTCATCTCTTAAAATTTTACTCTTTAGATTGATGTTGGTAGAATGGTTTATTGAAATGAAATTATAATTCTGCCTAGGGATTTTAAATAGGTAGAATAGGAAATAAGTCATCAAAGGACATCATTTATCTCAGGTTTTTACACAGTGTTTTATGAATAATTTCTTCAAAAATGAAACATGCTAGGGTTAGTRAAGCTACAGGGAGTTGTGTACAGGATTGCTGGGTTGCTATATGGATAGGTTGTAGTCTCTTGTTTTTTAGATGTATTTAACACAGAGATTCCTACTTTTTTTCCCTAGGGAGACAGGGTTTTACTTGGAGGACCTGGAAGTTTTTACTGGCAAGGTGAGATATACCATTTAAGTGACACAGGAGAACAACTCCTTTGATTTCCTTTTCATCCTCTCCTTTGTATCCACATTATTCCCAACTACTGTGAAAGCCTCTGCCTGCAAGAAAACTACCTGAAGTAATTTTTCCTAATCCTTCCAAATATTTCTTGAAAACTCAAGGCAATGTTAGAATAAAGCTCAACTGTACAGTGAAGCCTTTTTTTCTTTAAAATAAGTATGAACTTTTTAAAGGGACTTCTCTGAAAGATGAAGTTTCCACTGGTTGGATAGTCAGTGCCTTTAAGGGATATTTTTTGGGATAGCCTTTAGGATATTTTGCTTGTGCTTTCAAAACTATGGATTTTGGATTTTTTGACACATATTGAACACGTATTTGTGTGTTCACATATCTCCTTAAAGAACCCTATTCTCTTTTACTACCAGAAAAACTCAACTCTGAATAGTAGATAAGAAACTGCAATTTCACCCCATTTTTTTTCTTTTTTTTCCTATTTTTTTTTTATTATTCATTTTTGTATTCTGAAATGCAGAATAGTAGTTCTTCCTAAACATTGTACGTGCCTAGGGAATAGGTATTTGAAGTAGTTTCCTGAAAAAATTCTGTGATAAAATGTAATCAAGTCACCATCTAGTGGCTAGTAAAGTGAACACAGAGAAAAGGCAGTATTATATTGTTCTTACCTTGTTGTCTACCATGCCAATTCATAGTGTTATGATACTTAATCACAGGAATGATGACCCAATTCTACAACCCCATGCACCTATATTTATTGTTAGCTGAGCAGTCCTGTGTAAAAATGGCTTCTGTTGTCAGTTACAGCAATTCATGTGCTTTTAGTTAATCTTTGCTTTATTTCCCCTTAGGCCAGCTTATATCTGATCGAGTGGCAGAGATTGTGGATAAATATGACTCGAGAATTTACAGTACAAAGTATGAAGACCAGTTAGCAACCCGGCCAGCCAGTGCTGCTTTTGATGACAGCTACTTGGGTATGTAGTTTGAAAAGGGAAAAAACTTTCAACTTCCTTAAAAAGGAAGAGAGGTGAARGATTAGTAAATCACTTGAGAAGCTCATTACATCTTATCTGTTGATCAGGTTATTCAGTGGCTGTTGGAGACTTCAGTGGTGATGGAATAGAAGGTAAGACATTTGTTTTGGTGAAAAATCATGCTAATRTACTGGGCTGGTCTCTCAAAAGTCATAGGAAAAATGGCACAGTGCACAGAAAAGGATCCAAAGCATTAATAATCATCTACTTTGTTCAAGCATAGTCACTGTGCTCTGGAAACTAAATCTTGTCTGTGTGTTTTGTTTTATATTTCAGACTTTGTATCAGGAGTCCCAAGAGCGGCAAGAACTCTGGGCATGGTAGGAAATCTCAAATTTTACTTTAAATAAAAAGATAAATATTGCTGCTGTGGTGTAATGTATATTTTCTAATGTACAGGTGTCTATTTACAATGGCAAAGACATGTCTTCCATGTACAACTTCACTGGAGAGCAGGTATGTAGCTTTTCTGAACATGGTGGGTGAGAGGGAGGGTATTCCTTCCTAGACCAGGTACATGTGGAGAGGGTATCTAGGGTCTTGGAGCATAACTATATGTTGCTAATTTAAGTGCCAAAGGTAAATTGTATGAAGTATACAGGAACACTAAGAATATGTTCTGTGAGTTCCTGTTCTGTGATATTGCTTAGAACAGTTATTTGAATGGAGCAAATGCTGTTTACTTGGGGAATTAGAAACAGGACTGAATCATGAAAGGAGCAATGGGAAAGTTGCTGATTGGTTTGGTCTCTAATAGAGTATGGAAAAAAGATGAAAATGTGAGAAGGGATACAAAAAGGATACATTTTTTGCAGTATATGTCATCTCCCTAAAATCTTCTCTATTCAACAGTGTGTAAGCTTGTTTATATCAACACCTTTGTTCTAACGTTGCCTTCTAGATGGCTGCCTATTTTGGGTATTCAGTGGCTGCCACAGATATCAATGGGGATAAGTAAGTGGGTTCCCTTTTTTTCTCTCTCTCCCTCGCTCTTCCCCTTCTCCTCCCCTCTTTATTTATTTATTTATTTATTTATTTATTTTTACTCTGTAAAGAAAAAGAAAAAAAAATAGTGTGCCACTGGCACACAACATTTGTTTTAAGGAGTATTGTTTCATTTTGATATATATTCTGGGTTGGCCAGTGTGTATTTGCATGCTTTAAATTCCACTGTATTTGTGCTTACTTTGTCGGTAAATATTTGCTGTCATTTGCAATTTAAGGATAGGAAACTTGTCTCTTAATATTTGCTTCAGAGTTGCATTAGCCTTCTTAATAGATACCTGAGAGAATGGAACTGAATTTTCATGCAGTTATTGAAGAACATTGTCCTTATTTGCTCCAGCTATACAGATTTGTTTATTGGAGCCCCTCTCTTTATGGATCGAGGTTCTGATGGGAAACTTCAAGAGGTCGGCCAAGTTTCCATTTGCCTTCAGCGAGCGTCTGGAGGGTTTCAGATCACAAAGCTGAATGGTTTTGAGATATTTGCAAGATTCAGCAGTTCAATTGCACCTCTGGGTGACCTAGATCAGGATGGCTTCAATGGTAGGACATCATTTATTAAACAATGTATTCAGTTGATAGACTAAATCTAGACAAGACAGTGAATGTGGATTCTGCACACAAATGTTAGGTTTTCTAACTGTAAGTGAATGTTGGACACTAAGGTCTAGACTCCTTTCGATGCTTATATGCTACTCCCAAGAATGCTAAGAGGAGTTACATGTATGCATCGAGCAGAGACTATACCATTTGAACTACAGCATGGGTTATTTTAGTTGTTACATTGATGAGAATATTTCTTTCCAAAGCAATAAGTACAGTAGAAACTTTGATTAAATAACCGACTCTGCATTATGAGTTGTTAGGACATCTTCACTCTAACTTTCCTATTTCCATTGTTTAAACCCAATCTTGCTCTCCAGAAATGCAGAGATGACCAAAGAAAATCACTTGGTTTGGACAGCTGGTTTAAAAAATTCTGAAAGAAGAGATTTCCTCAGAAAAGTGTGTGTGTAAAAAATATATATATATATGTGTGTGTGTGTGTGTGTCTGTGTGTGTGTGTGTGTGTGTGTGTATATATATATAATATATATATATATATAAAAAAAACTTCAAAGTGGAAGAATGAGGTGGGAGCATCTTGTACTATACCTGAATATATCAAGAGCTGGATGTCTTGAACAAGTATTTGGTTGAGAAGCTTGAGTTTCTACTGCCAAGCTATGGACTCCAAAGCGCTTGTCCAGTGCCTCTTGCYGCTTTCCCATAGCAGTGGACAGCAGTGAAACAGATGGGAATCATGTGATTTTGAAACAGATGCTTCCAGTGATCCTAGTGGGAATAACTAATTGGGAAAATGACACTTGGTCATTTCTTGGAGTGATAAGGATCTTAGTTCTATTAAAAAACAAAACAAAAAAACCTCCTCACATTATTTTTGTTTTGTTTTTTCCTTCAGATTGCAAGTTAGGTATTTTCTGAAAGACTGAAAAATATGCTAAGTAAATGTTTTAATATCCTAGGTAGCTCTGATTTATGTTTTTAATGGAATCATTAACATTTTATTTCATCTTCTGTTCTTTCCTTGTCTTGGAAACATCTCTTCATTCTATCTTGAGATAGGCTGTCATATTTTAAAATGTAATGAAGTAGTCATATTTTAAAACCTTTAAGAAATGGAGATGAGATCCATAAAGCAGTATAATTTGTCTCAGCAATTTATCTATTAAGTAATACCATGGGGATTAAGTGGATAAGTGACTTACCATTAAAAGATATTTATATATATATATATATATATATATCTTTTAATGGTGTATATATATATAGTTGACCTAAAATCAAATTTTAAATGTGTTAACTTCATGATCGCTTTGTAATGTGCTGGTTTGAACAAGATGTATGGTTTGTAGCTCAAAACATTTTATGTCATTGGTTTTGATAATCTTTTTTAGTTAATAGAATGGAATTAGTGCAAAAATCAAAATTGTTACAGTTATGCAGGGAAGATTTTGGAAGAGTTAGAGTTGATAGCTAAAAATTTGTTCACTTGATCGTATTACCCAAGTGATGCTTTGAGCTTGTCATATTTCAGCCTGACATACATCTGAGGGAGAAAATCATAGTGAAATAATTCTCTCTTTAAAATTAATTCCTTTGCCATTTAATCTTTTTTTCCCCCAATCTTTCATTTGCGTGTATTAATTAAACTGCTTTCAATCACAGCATGGTGATTGAAATATTTTCATGAAATTTGTAAAAATGAGTTATAATACAAAACAATTATTGAATACCTGTTTTATGAAAAATGACACAAATTTAAGGGAAAATATACATAATAACTCCCATTGTCTTATAAACCATTTTATATAAGTGCTTTCTTGATTGATGGAGTCTTTGAATCTACATGGATAATGCTGAAATTAGATTTTATGTACGCTTCAAAAGCTTTCTTTACAGATAATGTTTCCTGTGGAGGGTGCAATTAGCATTTTGTTTGTCATTGTTTTTCATTCACTGATAATGAGTGCCCTCAAATTTATTAAGCTTTAAGGGATGTAGCATAATTGTACTAATTGGAAATCTTCCATGAAGCATGTTGCCAAGCAATGATCCAGACAGGCTGGAATCTGATATTTAACATTTCTTTAGGCTGATTTAAGTCTTCCAGAATTATTAAAATGTCACACCCTTTGGATGTAGATGAGTGAGTTAATGAAATACTCCCACTTAGTTTTGTAATCTTTTTCCAGCAGTGACTAATTCTGGGTGTTTAATGCTCTCCTCTAAAACATCCAAAATCCATATGATTTGGCCATGATTCAGTTATTAAGTACAAAAGTGTTTGCAGCACTATTCCTTTTTCTGCAAATGCAGGTCTATAATACTTGTTAAACATTCATAGTTTCTAGAAAATCCCAGTATCCCACAATCTATAAATAGATCAATAAAGAAGTTAATGAACTGCCTGGTTGCATTTCCTCCCTGCTGGCATGCACCGAAACTGGAATATTAAAATTTATTGAGCAATGTCAGCGCAAATATGTTCCCCTTGTCTATATTTGGAGATGCTGAAGACTGCTGTGTTGGTTTACAGATATTGCAGTTGCAGCCCCATATGGTGGAGAGGACAAGAGAGGGCTTGTTTATATCTACAATGGAAGAGCGACTGGAGTGAACAGCGTTCCCTCCCAAATCCTGGAAGGACAGTGGGCAGCTCGCACCATGCCACCCAGCTTTGGGTACTCGCTGAAGGGAGCCACAGATGTGGACAAAAATGGATATCCAGGTCTTTTGCTCTAAATGTCACTTTTGAATAACTTCATACTCTCTTTAACTCCGACAAACAGCGTATTTTACAAAATTGTAACGTGTCGTATTTCTCCTTTCTTTCTAGATCTGATTGTTGGAGCCTTCGGTGTTGACACAGCTGTTCTGTACAGGTACTTGTCCCTGTCTGCATTCCTTGCAAAACAAGAGCAGACTATTGGATATTAAAAAGATTTCACTGCTATTTTCAGTGGGTAAATGTGCAGTCTGTAATYTATTATTCTTTTTAGTATATTCATAGCTAAGAGAAAATCTAGATAGGTTTTCCAAGCGGCACTTCTGTAGATCTCAACATAGAGCGAGTGCTGCTGGCAGCTATGCAGAGCAGTCTCAATGTCCTCCTCAGCTCCTCCTCACTTGGGGAAAGGACCTTGCTTGTCTGTCTGTGCTACATATAGGCATGACTTTTCTTTAATCTGCTTTATGATTTTGATKATAGTAAATGAGCACAGACTACTACTTGTTGTTCCGTAATCGGCTCCATGACTTGTTCTTACTGTTCCACTAAGTATTTTCTAAATGTTTATGCATATATTTCAGGTTGGTGGGAGGAAGATTGTTTAATGTTGCTTGTTGTTCAAAAGGATGTTTTCTTTGCAGGGCTAGGCCAGTCATCAGAGTAAATGCTGCCCTGGAAGTTAATCCAACTATTCTAAACCCAGAAAACAAAGCGTGTTCACTGTCAGATGTGAAAGTTTCTTGGTAAGCAAGAAATCTTTTGTTTCCCTACAAGGGGAGGGACCTTTTGCTGGTTTATTTTCATAAACTTTAAATTTTGAAAGCATTCAGAGAAGAATGGCAAAAGCAAAATCAGTGCTTCTTGAAAACAATGTAAGGACATTGTCTCCAAAAATGATCTTATATTACAATTTACGTAGATTATCAGTTATTTTGATTGAGCAAAGTAAGATCTTYCCAAGAGTGCAATGGGTCATGGGGCTTTTGTATTTTATTTTTTCTTATCTGCTGACTTGCACTAAAAATACACTTGCAAAGTGTATTTTAAATTAATTTTTGTTTTCCTCCAAAACAGCTTTAAAGTGAAGTTCTGCTTAAAAGCGGATGGCAAAGGAAAACTCCCTAACTCGCTCAGTAAGTTCCACTTAATTTGAAAACTCTTAAGTCTCTTGATATTGCTTGGAAATACAAGTATGAATCAGTATTTTTCTCAAATACTGAAACAACTTTCTGTCATATGCAGCACAATCTTGCCTGTTAGGTAACCATTTTCATCATTAGGAAATTATTCAGCAGGTTTTTATGTGGAAGTTGTGTTGGTTCAAGTCAGTGGGATTTGAGCATACGTGGCACTTGAAATCCACGTTTAAGAACTTTCTGGAACTTATCTTGGAAARTTTTTGGTCTTTAGAGAATTAATATCAGCCCTTGATGATTGGGGAGTTTTAGTTAAGTATATTCAAATGTTTACATTATTGGTCCCTAAAAGAATGGACAAGCAACGGAGAATCAGGACTTGTCTAATTTCTGTTGAAATTTTCAGCTTTTGATTGATTTCACTCATATGTCTAGGTCAGAATCTGAAAAACAACAGGCTTTTAAGCTGCCTCTAAGAGTTTTTGTAGTGTAGCAGGCTCTCTGCTGCAATCGACTTTTGTCTGATTATAAATCCCTTCCCTTATTTTTGGTATAGCAGGCAAAAAGGAGGTTTGATCTGGCAACACTCATATAAACATCTGTTACATATTTTAAAATTCATTACCTGTATCAAATATTTCAAGTAATTAGATTAGCAGTGGAATTCAGTAATGTAAATTACTGCATTATTATTACTGCATTATTATTACTGCAAATTACTGTAAATTACTGCATTATTATTACTGCAAAGATACTGCATTAACTTTTTTTCTGGAAAAAAGCTTTAATTTACATTTTTTTTTTTTTTTTTTGCAGTCCTGAGTAATTAAAAACCCAATAATATGCTTCTAAATTTAAAGGAAAGAGTGAAATCCAATGTTAGGTCAGTGGTGATGTTTGTTGGTTGCTATGTCAATAAGCAATGTAGTAATAGACTTCATATTGGAAGAACTGGAGGCTTTAAAAATTACTGTTAGGTTTTCATTATAGCTGAAATCAAATTTAAACCCATTTTCTCATAGGAATGTGTTTTGTGTTCAAGTGGATGAAATATCTGTAACATAAATGCTTTGGATTTGACAGATTTCCAAGTGGAGCTGCTGTTGGACAAACTTAAACAGAAAGGAGCTATAAGGAGAGCTCTGTTTCTCCACAGCAAACAGCCTAGCCACTCTAAGAACATGACTATTACAAAGGGAGGGAAAATGAATTGTGAAGAACTAGATGCCTTTTTGAGGGTAAGTAGCCACTTGTGTCTTGAAATCATTTTTGGTGTAATGTCTGTTACAAATTTCTTGTTAGAGTGACTAAAATCCACAGAACAATAAATGTTTAGGAAACTTCATGCCCAGTGGATAAAATTAAAATGTTTAAAACATTATTTCTGTGCTGGATTTCAAGTGCTGTCATAGGATGAAGGATGGATAGTGTTGTTATTAAGATCCTGATCTGTAAGCAAATTGGAAATCCAATTCTGACCTTGGTTAGGGTATTCTTGGAGAAGTTATCCAGGCACAAAATTAATTCATTATCATTTACAAGGAACATAGAAATCAATAAGCAGAGACTTTATTCCTTTAGAGATAAAGAGAAAGATGAAGAAGAACATAGATATTCTAATACCATTTGGAATTCTTTGCTACTGCTACAACAACATGAGCAATAAACTAAAATACTACCCAGTATCCCTGTTGGAATGTCTGTTAGTTGAGTATAGAGAGTTGCGTATCTGAAAATGTAGATAGTTGAATATCTAAGGCTGTTTCATTTTTGTACACACTTTTACTGCAAATTTTTGATTTCTTCAGGATGAATCTGAATTTAGAGACAAACTGACTCCCATTACTATTTTTATGGAATACCGTCTCGATTACAGAACAGCTGCYGATCCAACAGGATTGACTCCTATCCTCAACCAGTTCACTCCTGCTAATATGAGCAGACAGGTATATTTCTTAGAAGATCAGTGTTGAAGAACACAGGACATGTTTTCAGCTTTTAGTAGTTTTTTCTTATATCTCTATTAAATTGTTATTTGGTGCTTGACTAGTTTTTCACACATACTACTTAAGAGTTTTCTAGAGAGAAGGTATTAAATTAGTATTAAAGATGTTAGTCTTGAAGGTGATGGTTTCATCCATTCCTCTATGTTGCTCTGCATTTTACCTATTTATCTCCATAAACACAGCTTGCTTTCTTTTTTATTTTTGCCCTTGTTACAAAGTATTTTTACACTTGTTTGTAAAGCTGATAGTGGAGATGCAACTCRGAGTGAATGGATTAATGAAAGTATGGTAAATAAGTCTAAGATATGGAGACACTCATGTTATTTCAGGATTGGGAAGGGTACTCCCCATATATAAAAAAAAAAAAAATCACATGTTCTGTTCTGTTTTAGGTCTGATGAGAAAAAGATAGTTCATATTTGGCTATTCAGAAAACCTCTGATTTAGTCAAAAAATAATATTGTTGGAAGCGTACACTAAAACTGATGCAGAAATCACTAAAACCATATTCATATATTTTTTACATAGGCATATATTCTGCTGGATTGTGGTGATGATAATATCTGCAGACCAAAGCTGGAGGTTTCAGTAAAGAGGTGAGTAAAGAATATTTTTCTTGTTTTAAGGAAAATCTTTGTTCTGGTATGTAACCAAATGTCATCAGCATATCACATTACAGGCTGCCCAGGGAGGTTGTGGAGTCTCCTACTCTGGAGGTCTTCAAAACCCGCCTGGATGCCRCCCTGTGCCACATGCTSTAGGTGTGCCTGCTTGAGCAGGAAGGTTGGACTAGATGATCTGTAGAGGTCCCTTCCAACCTTAAATATTCTGTGAATCTGTGAATCACCAGGAAGAACAAGTCCCTCTCTTTCTCTCAAATACTATGATTATTGAGATGCATGCATATTATTGATATATTTGCAGTGTTAGTTGCAATTGCACCGCTGTTTCATTATTTKTAACTACCTGGACGCATAAAGCAGTGAACAGGTGTCACCCATCCAGCTAGGGGCAGATAAAGGTTCTGTTGTTATAWGTATGACAAAGCATGTTTGTAGTGATAAGATCTTCTGTTTTAACCTAATATTAAATCTGGAAAAGGAGATTCAATCCCTGGCTTGCAGCTAGATGTCTTCTGTTTTGTTTGTCCAAAACCTGTCTTCATATAATACTTTTACTCACAAACATTGACTGTTTTTTTTATGCCCTTCGCTATAGTATGTGCACATTTATCTATGTAATAGAATTCATGAGCATATGCATTCATGTAAACATTTAAGAAACATCTAACATCAGTGCATGCACATTTTTTTTCCCCCTCATACAGTGACCAGAAGCAGATCTATATTGGTGATGACAATCCTTTGACACTAACTGTCAGTGCTCAGAATCAAGGGGAAGGAGCCTATGAAGCAGAGCTCTTTGTCATCGTCCCACCCCAAGCAGACTTCATTGGTGTTGTTCGTAACAGAGAGGTACAAGTCCCAACCATCTTTCCTCTTTAAAGACTCATGTTTCAGTTGCTGCTGGAAACCTGCAGGAAGGGACCTCTTACTGATGGTGGTGAAGCTCCGTTCCATGAATTGAAGCCATGACACCTGCCTGAATGGTTCCAGTTCTGTGATCATTCCATACRCCTGAAAAAATGAATGTTGTTATAAGGGGAAAATTATTATGTACCTTTTCAGATGTGAATTCTCAACATTGCCTGCTAGCTTGTACATTGTGGTCTGTTAGTTTTCAGTTCCCAAGTCTCCTTCCCCAAATTTCTGTTGCACAACAACTCTGAATAGTGAGACTGAGGTTTAGTTAAGGCAGTAGAACAACTCTTATTTGGGATGATGCAACTTATCTTCCATCATTAAAGCAACAGCTGGCCTTGTAAAAGAAAAAGGGAAGGAAAAATGTATTTGAAAGCCTTTAAAATCCCTTCTGGTATGAAGTCCTTCATTTTGCACGATGCTTCAGCTTGATTGACTTACCAATGTTTGCCTTTGCTGCTCTAGATATCATGGATCTCTAAGCTGATGTTGCTTATAGTCCCTACATGCTTTTGTCCTGTGTATTTATCCAAAATCTGATCGATCTCTTGAGCTCTTTGAGTAAGCTAGTGATTTATTCATGTTGTTTTGCTTTCCAATTGTTATTTTCTTAGGAAGAGTTTTAAATCTTGCCTAGATACCAGAATTTCTTCAAATAAGTATTAAAGAATCAAATAGAGAAATGCTTTAAGCTACCAAAAACATCACTGCTATYCAGCCTAAGAGTATTGAATATCTCATTGTATAATCCTAGAAAGAATATCTGTTTTGTTTCAACTTTTCCATGAAGAATTTCACCTTTGTATTTTGTTGAATCTGTTCAGTATTTGGTTATATTAGGACTGAGAAATTACATTAAAATTAATGCAACATGCCTGGAACTTCTCCAGACTTTAATATGGGTGCCAAGAAGTAAATAAATGACATTTTTTTTAATATTTCTTTCTGCCTTATTGCAGGATTTAGCCAGACTGTCATGTGCATTTAAAACTGAGAATCAAACTCGCATGGTAGTTTGTGACCTGGGAAATCCCATGAAAGCAGGAACTAAGGTAAGATTTGGTTCAGCCGGTATCTGGTAGCTCAACCTGGAGTGCAGTTTGTGCTTATTCTTCAGTACAGAAGGGTTTGGGCAGGTACCTTGTACTCATACAGTACAAGGTAAATATGTTAGCTGACATTTAGTCATCCACATCTAACCAAACCCCGCAAAAGATCAGTATGAACGCTAATAATTTGTTTCAAATTTGCAGCTGAACTAAGTTAGTTGTATGGTAAATGAATAGTTCAATGAATAGTGTAATTACTGAGCTTTGATCACTCATAATTTTGTATCTTTAGATCTATGTAATGTAGATTTTTTTTGAGTGTGTGTGTGTAGTATAGATTAAGTGCAATCACGTACTGCATCTTTCTCTCTGTGGAAACAGTTTTGCCAGTTTTTGAGAAAGGCAATTTTGTCTAGTTAAAACCTTTGCACTTTCATCAAACAGGTGAATTTAGAAGAGTTGAACTCTCTTAAGAAAGGGAATCACTGAGGCATAATAGGACCTAATAGGTATAATTTTCTGAGGAAATAAAGCAAAAATTGGTACAATTAAAATGCTTTGAGAATGCTTTTTCTTCCATAAAACATTTTGTAAAGGGGAATAAATGGAATTTCCAACCTCTTGTGAAGCATATCACGCTGAACTGCACAGATATTAAAGCACTATTGTGCACTGAGTTAGAACAAACCTTGTGAACTGTGAATTTCTGAACTTTTGAACTGTGCTGTACTTGCTGCCAGCATCTGAGAGAAGGCTCAGTTGTAGGCAAAAATGGTTAAAATAAGGGAATGAGGATGATGTAAACAATACGTTTCTATTTTATGACAGTAATATGTTAGCTAAAGCCTACAGGGAGAAAGATTTGTTTCTAGCCTTGGTAAATTGGGTGAGTTTCAGTTGCCCATCAATCTGTCATCTTCTCATGACCACATGCCTTGTGTAATTTCTCTGTCATCTAATAGTACTTGAGAAGCTTTTACGATGTATTTTATTGTGTTTCCTCTGAACCGTGGTGACTTTATTTTTCTAAAGCTCTTAGCTGGCCTGCGTTTCAGCGTGCACCAGCAGTCTGAAATGGATACCTCTGTGAAGTTTGACCTTCAAATCAGAAGGTAGGGAAATATGGGAATAGGTAACATGCTATATCAGTAGGCTATGAACTCCAGTTAGAATTTCAGTCTAGACTAACTCTCTGGATTTGGCTTTGAAATGTTTTAAAAAATGAACTCATTTTTATGACTTAAGTTTTCTAAAATATAGGAAGAAATAAGTGAAAATCCAATTTTATGTTTGAATGCATTTTCTTTTGCTTTCAGCTTTTAGATTCTCTAAGACATGACTGAAATACTGCCRTGTTAGTAATGAGGAATAAAGCAATTTCAAATATTTCAAAGAAAACTCTGCATTTTTGTATTGCATATTGTTCTGATCTCGACACCTGTGTAGTGCAACAGAAAAACCTGTGTTTTTGGGTTCTTATCTCACTATTTTTATTAAAAAATGGCTCTCTACACAGTCATCAGTTCCCTCTTACTCCCATTTCAACTCTAAACTTCTAACACATTTGTGAGGAAAATCATCAGTCTTAAATATATTCTTAAAATATAGAATGATATATATAATAAGATATATTGGATGAGAGAGATTAATATATCTTGCTGATGTGTAAAGTTGGGAGAACCAAATAAACTAAAAATGGCTTGAACAGAATTGGAGAAGAAGCCTGCGTTATTAGTAGCTTGTTCAATTCTGCAAATCAGGTGTTTCAGGTGTATTCTAYTTGGATATTATATGCTTTCATCTCACTTGAAGATATTTACAAGTCACAGCATTGTCTTAAATTCCCTTCATAGGAAGTCACAAGGCTGCTGCTTTGGACCTAGGCTTCATAGTTGCATGACTTGTATCTGGCTTTTAACACAGCTTAGATGCCTTGTGTTAAGCTGGTTTGTCTTGTATATCTGCAAAAAATGGATTTCCTATCAAACTACCCTTGGTCAGTCCCTTTTGTGGGCACACAAAGGCCCACCAACCAAGGACATACTTGACTCTCTTTGCCTGATGATAGGTTCCAATATACAGTGATTTTTTTTTTTTTTTTTTAGTACATTGTCTCTTTCAGTGTCTCTGCTGAAGATTTTCTATTCTGTAAATACTAAGCTCTCCTCTTTGGTTGGCCCTGGGAGGGTACTTTATAGTGGATAAATGAGTTAGGAATAAGGAAATAATCTTTGGAGCCCATCTGTCTATCTACTGTCTTTCAAGATCAGGCACTTAAGTAGCAGTCTCTAACACAAGTGATGCAATCAAACATAGTAATCACAGTTTATAGTGACAGGTATTATCTTAAAGAGGTTTAAATGATCTTAAAGATCATGCTAGTTGTCTTAAACTCACAAAGCTAGCTTTCCACAGCTGTCTCAATTCCAGACAGAACAACCAGAGTCTCTGAAAGGATGAGATTTTTATTTGTGTTTTTGTTGGACTACAACAGCAGCCAAGAAAGAGGATTTGGGAAGATTTTCTAAAGGCAGTGAGTATGGTTGGGTTGAGAGAGTGGGATGAGGTCCCAGTTTCTTGGCTAGGGTAGCAGGAGTGTTCTCTATATTTCTGATTCTCTACATATAAAAGAAGTCCAAAAGAATTTATGTGCAGCTGTTTCTACCTGCTTTGAGATCTGGCATATTTCTCGATAGAGCTAACATGTGGGAATCTGATGTTCTCAACTATTTTGAATCAGAACTGTTTGAATCATTTCTCTTTGAGAAATTCTGAAGAGGAGTAGGCAAAAATAGCCCTCACTTTTCTGCCTTGGGATTACTTGGAAGCCACATAAGCCCCTGGTCAAAACAAGCGCTCTGAAGTAGACTGTAAGGCCATGCTAACTGCAGAGCTGATGTTATCCCACATCACCACCAGCTGAATTTCCTTGTATGTCACAGTTAAGGAGCCAGCAGCCGTTTTACGTTGTATATTCATGCTTCKCTGCAGAACGAAATCCAAATTGCACTGTGGGTAGGATTGTGATACACTTGAGAACTGTTGCATCAGAGTAGGGACTCCTTAGCATTTAATATATTTGTTTTCCAACTGTGGCCTGGGAAACATCCTATGGTGTCACATAAAATTATATAGACCGACTTGGTTCTTTTGCTGCACTAATTTTTTTTTTTTTTTTTTTTGTAGTTCCAATCTATATGATAATCTAAGTCCAGTAGCATCCTATCAGGTTGACCTTGCCATTTCAGCAGCCGTTGAAATTAGAGGGTAAGCACTGATACTGATTTTAAATGTCTTTCTCAAGTGAGCTTGCACACTTACCCCACACACACACACTTAATAATTGTTTTCAGGTTTGTCTGTGTAAGTTTTCATAAAAAAGGGAAAGTTTTAATCATAGAGAAAAGGTGATTATTGTTAGCTTGTGGTCTTTCAAGTATTAGTTAYGGACTGATTTCAAAAATTTAGTATTTTGCTTTCTTTTATAAGAACTTTTTCTAGAGGAAGAGAATTGCAAAAGCATTGCACACATTTCTCCAGATTGCTTTCCTCCTCCACAAACTGGGTTTCCATCCAAAAATTTCCAAACATTTTTTAAAACCAAATTTGAAAATTATGCTACAGATAAGTTTGCAGTGGTCTTGCTGGCTTCAGTCTTCAGTGCAGTGTTAACAGTGTAATGACTTCATTACCTTCATTATTAGAAGTTATCCCTTCATACTTATAGGCTATACAATTTCCTGTTTAGCCAGTTAATTCAGATTCCCAAGTCGTCATTTTTCCTAAATTTTCACATTTATTGTTTGTTCCTTGTGATACACTTTTATTAATTTTTTGAGGATTGTGGGAAGGCAACTGCTAAAAAGGTTTTATTGCCAGCTATATTTTTCTTGTGATCGTACTGATTAAATTGGATGAAAAATTGGATCTTATTTTAGACATGCTTTCTGGGGGGGAGGGAAAGGAGGGAAGAAGAGAGGATGTTTCTAAAGAATTGCATCTAATTTTTCGTACTTGATAATAACTAAATAACTATTTGTTCACTCCATATAGTGTGTCGTCTCCTGACCACATATTCCTTCCTATTGCAAACTGGCAGCCCAAGGAAAATCCAGAAACAGAAGATGATATAGGGCCTCTAGTTCAGCACATCTATGAGGTATGCAATTACTACTCATGTCAGTGTCAGTTTTGTGACTTTAAACAAGAGTAAAAGAAAAATATATTTTACATCGTTAGTCATGTTTTATTGTCTGTAAGATTTTTCTAGCCCTTTGCAATCTAGATAAAATATCTGAAATTACTTGAGCAGAAAAAAAAAGATCCATGGATATAAAATATTCATGATCCTCATTTGCGTTCCAACTGTTCTGAATCATTATCACAAAGGACTTTTGCATTAAAAAACTATGTTTAAAACTTCTTCAAAAGAATGATCACAGCTTTAATCTTGATTGTTTAATTAAGCAAAACCTATTGAGAGCTGTGTGAATGATGAGTTAAAGTTATTCTATAGTTATATAATTTATCTAAAGAAAATTATGAACATATGTTCACAGTATCTTGGCTGAAACACGCAGTGGCTGTGACTTCATGCACTATGCTACAAAAAAAAACTTATTTCTTTTCAAAGGAAAAATTTGTTCCCTTCCTTTTTTTGAAACTATTTTTTTTTTTTATCAAAGTAGAGTAGTATTTTAAACATTTTGCTGTCGGGGGACTTCAAGTTTAGTTTCCATTTTAAGTAGAAGTGTGATGCTATTGCAGTAACAGGTCTTGCTTTCAGTGTCATTTATGGCTCAAATACAAACTAGCAAACTAAGTGCTTTAACAAAAAAGGGGGCATTGATTTTCATGTCTGATTATTATTTTCATCATCAGCTAAGAAACAATGGACCAAGTGCTTTCAGTAAGGTGATGATGACGCTACAGTGGCCTTACAAATACAAAAACGACACACTCCTGTATATCATTCAGTATGAAATTGATGGTCCTATGAACTGCACTTCTGATATAGAGATCAACCCATTGAAAATTAAGGTAATCGGGACTTTTTGTTGGAGTGGTGGCTGCTTTTTGATTTGAAAATGCAGTTTAAAAAAAAAAAAAAAGCCACAAATCCCCGAGAGAAGATATAACTGTGTCTGAGTTGGGTTTTCATCGTCGCTAAGGAGAGCGAGTGCATTGTTTGACAGTCCTTGTCAAATGTGTCAAGGTGAACAACAGATTGTGCACTCTCATTTCCTTCTCTTTTGTTCTTGAAAACTAGACTGTAGGGCTTTTCAGTTGGAAGCAGTGGAATTACCTGGTCTTAAACAAAACTTTCTAATCACGTTTCATTTTTTTTATATAAGTCTCTTGTTAATTTTCTTTTAGGAAATAAATCCATCTTTGATAATTAGAAAGCATCTTTACTGTTGATATAAATTCCCCCTGTTCTTGCTCTATGATTTGTAGTAATGTATTTTCATAACTCTTAAAATTGTTTTTATAAATTTCTCATGTAGAAGAAAATTAGCCTGAATCTGCCTAGTTTCATATGTAAATTTGCAATTTGACATGGGAAGTTTTTAAGGAATACTGATCTAGAAAAGGTAATAAACAACATTTTAATTACAGCTGTAGATGAAGGTAGATTCGGAAGAAGTGCAAAAATTAGTTAAGATGGAAAGGGGAAAAAAAAAAGATCAGGTATATATTTTCTTGACCTGTGGGTTTAACTTTGAAGTTTACAGATATCTAAATGCAATGATTAATAGTTACTTGGGTTTGCTTGGTGTATCCTAGATTTCTGCTCCTAAAGATGAGGATAAGAATGAAACACTTAATAGGGAAGATAATCGTGGTCACCGTATCAGTCGAAGGGATTTATCTGCCTTTGAGGGAAACGTTCATACTTTGGTAAGCTTTGAACACTGATATGTTGATTACAAGTTGCTTTTTTAATGAAGAAGTGAGAGCTCCATGAGAGGCAGTGTCATTTCAGAAAAGGCCTTAAAGATTTTTCTGTATCTGAAAGGGTAATAGACAAAGTCATATGCATGTACGTTTGTTTTTTAGCAGGCATGAGTTTTCCTCAGGGTGGTTTGCCAATGAAACACTCTGCTACCTACTATTTGGCATACACCTACAGTATGTGCTGTTATTAGTGTTGTTGTTCTTCTTCTTCAAAAAAATGCAACCTGAGCACTTAATTCAGTGTATTGTACTGTTTTCTTAATTGGGAAAATGATAGTTTGGTGAGGGAAGTGCAGTAAAAAAGGATAACCAGAATGAAATAGGAGAGAGTGTTGCAATCAGCTACAAATTACAGTTGATGTACACCTGTTCAGAGGGCCTCATCTTCCTATAGAAGCTGCGAGCATTCAGTTCTTACGAATGTTTATCTGAAGGATGGGAGGTTGCTTTTTTTGCTTTTAAAACAAGAGTGAATATTTATTGCCTGATCATCCCAAAGGCTCAGCAGGACCTCGCCCCAGAGGTTATATACAGCATGGACAGTAATGCATTCCACTGACTTGTGTTATACCAGCAGTTGTGCTTATACTGTACAGTGCCTTTATCTATAGTATAACTGAAACCACAGGTAGAAAGCAAAGCCTTGTTTTGCTCTTCTTTCTTCCTGAAATATTGATGATCTAGCATCAATATTATCCTAAGTACTTTAATGGAAAAGTGGTTGAGAAATGCCCCTCAGACTTCCCAAGCCATAAACATGACTTAGGTCAGTCATCTTATTTGAAGTCTTTTGCTGCATGTAGCAGAGCATTTGGTTGCTGGCAGGCAGTACAGTCAATTGCCATTAGTTTTCCTATTAAAAAAAACTCTTTATTTTCATATGGAAGGATGGTAATGTGAATTGATCTGAAATTACTATCCACCCAATGCTACGGAATTTCTTTCTAAACATATAAATAAAGTACATACCATAAAACTGCTATCAGATATTTCAGCTTTGGGACCCGAACATCTGAAACTACTTTTCTCAATGCACTTATGGACAGTTACTGCAAGTAATTGTTCAATACTGGTTTTACTTAAGACACTTCAGTGGGTTACGGAGTGCTGTCCTGCATAGAAAATAGGGTAATGAAATATGATTATGAAAAAAATAATGCTATGGATGACTCTTCAAAGATATTTACTGTTGAAATCTTCTTCCTATTTTTATACACAGGGCTGTGGAACTGCTGATTGTTCAAAGATAGTCTGTCAAGTTGGCCACCTGGAAAGGGGAAAGAGTGCAATATTGTATTTAAAATCCCGCCTTTGGGTCCAAACCTTCATGAATGTGAGTGCCTGTGTGTAGTCTGTCCCTGATACAGAAACACAAGAAGTAATTTTACATCGTATGCAATACTAATTTTTCTTTTCTCACACAGAAAGAAAATCAGAATCGCTCTTATTCTCTCAAATCATCTGCTTCGTTCAGTGTTATAGAATTCCCTTATAAGAACCTTTCCTTTGAAGATATCCATAATTCTACAATTGTAAGTTATTTAAGTCTAGTTTGAGTTAGTGTACATCATTACTTTGAAATTAATACAGCAAAAAGTAATGGTAAAAGATAAATATTTTGGTTTATTTTCTTTTTCAGTGGGATAGGTTTGTTGCTGAATAGCTGCTTGTGACTTAGTTTAATGCCAATTTTACAACCTTTTTGTTTCATGTATTAGTGTGACTTACATTTAATTGAGGGCAAAATAAAGTATTTTGTGTTAAAACTAGAGTTCAGCCATGGACTGCTTGGAGCTTTAAAGGCTTAATTGATTCAACAGAAAAACAGCACTAATGGTAACAGTACTAATTTTCTTAATGCCCCTGCTAGAGAAATATTTGACTAGAAAATTTTCTTCTGTTTTGCTTGTACTTAGAGCTTGCATAAGGAATCATACTCATATTATATAAAGTGCTAAATGAACATGGAACAAAGACATCTGTGCACTTTCCAAGAATGAGCGGAGTCAGGGTACAGGCAGAGGGAAAATGGGTCAGTCCGTTGGGCTGTCAAATTAGAAGTTTTTAGTAGGTAATAGATTATTAAAAAAAAAAAAAAAAAAAAACTTAAGGGGATTGAAAAAGGATAATGATTGCTTATTCTTGCATATAGCTTAAAATGCAAATGTGTATTATTTACTTTTTGTTTTAACCTCTTGACCCTTTTGGAGTTGATCTTTGTTTTGAGGGGTGTTGCTTTTAAGAAAGAAGGGAAACTCCAAAATTCTGTGCAAGTACTGAAAATATCTGATCTTACAGAATGCTTCCATGCTGTCACTGGCCACAGATTCTTCCCTCTCCCCTCCCTTCCCACCCCCATAATATTAATAGTTTTGAAATTTCTATTATATTTGGATCAAAATTTGCATTTTCTATTAGTCTACAGCTATATACCCCCACTGGAGAAAAAAAAAAATTGTGCTGCTTAAGGTTATTTTAAACATCATCTCTTGTACTTTTAAAATATGTGCTAGTTAAACTGCAAATATGATCTCTGCCGTGACTGTGCAGAATGTGATATATTGTGTTTTTCTTTTAGGTTACTACAAATATTACATGGGGCATTCAACCCCAGCCTATGCCTGTGCCAGTGTGGGTTATAATTTTGGCTGTCCTAGCAGGATTATTGCTCTTGGCTGTTCTAGTGCTTGTTATGTACAGGGTAAGTATCCTAACATTTGAGTTTTATGTTGTTTTCCTTTATTGTTATTCCTTTCCTTCATGTATTACTTCAAATAGTAGGAGCAGCTTGCAGAAGTACCTTGGCTCCCTAATGATCTGAATCTATTGACTTTTTTGGATAAATTTAAGAAAAAAAAATCAGCTGTAGGAAGAAATTGATTAAAGATGATGTCCGAGACTGTGCTGAAGTACTCAGTTTTATTTTTCCAGTTGGCATTTATTGGTTTTGGAGGACTAAAATATAGTAAAAGAAAAATATTCAATTAACAGAAGCTGTTGAAGAAGCAGTGAGAAAGATAAAGAACAGGCCTGTATTTTTGAAAAGCACAGTGGCACAATTTTTTTGTTGTTCTCCAAATTGCAGATGGGCTTCTTCAAACGTGTGAGACCACCTCAAGAAGAACAAGAAAGAGAACAACTGCAGCCCCATGAGAATGGGGAAGGAACATCAGAAGCTTAAGCAGAGTTTTATCTGTAAGACATTCTAAAACTTTTCGAAGTCTTCATCGAGGTTACAAATACTGGCTTCCCTGTTAAGGAAAAGACACTCGTGACTGCGATGCTGCTGATGTCAAAAGGTATTGGCACCTGCAAAACAAGAGCAATGTGTATAAATCATCCCTTTTGTATTAATCATGTTGACACATGTGACTAATGCATATGCACTGATTTGTGAGTAACGCGTAGTGCTTTGATTTTGCTTACTGGGATGTAGGAGGCAACATCACTTTCCAGTTCAGTCTGCCTCTGCATGACTTGCTGCATAGATTCCATTTACACTCTTTAAGCCAGCAGCTACTGTAGACACTTTCTGGATTACGTGTTTTGATAGATTTTTGTTGTAGTACACTACACTTAATTTTCTAGCTCATGAAAGCTAGTTGCACAAAAAACCAAGCACAGCTTGTTTTACAAAGCTAAAGAGTATTCTTTGACCCATTCATTTTGCTAATGATTTTTCCTCCTGATCAAAAAAAAATAATGAAAGAGGTTATTCAGTGGAATCATTACCCTCTGATCTCTTCTACACCCCAGTTTCCCCTTCCTGCCTGGCCATCTATCCCCTGGACTCCCCTGAGACTGCTCTCCTGATGCAAGGTCCCCTACCTTAGAGACTGAGGCTATGGAAAGAGAAGTGAGGGAGAAAACTGGGGGTGTTGCACTCCCTATGAGACCCTGAGAGAAGATGCAGGGCAAGATCCAAAGACTGTTCTTTGCACGAAGGTGGGATTGATGGGTCCCACAGAATTCTGGGCATCCATTCAGGTACTGCCAAGGGCAAGATGTTGGACTTAGCTGCCAAAAGATGTGTCTGATCTGAAAACACATAGTCTTTATGCCTATAGATCATACCTCCATAGGACTTAAAACTGCATTTTCTTGGGTTGAACTTCCATCCTTGGCAAAACAGTAGAGGGAATATTTGTGGCAGGTTACCTGGGGCACCCTGGGAAAGCTGCTAATAATTCGAGTATTTATAGTTTACCTTGTCCAAGTGCAGGACTGGGTACTACAGAAGTGCTTTAGCCTACACTATCTGCCAGCCAAACGTATCTAGATCACATCAATGCTTTAGCAGCCCTCACCCCTGCACTGCCACTTGCCCTAGGAGAACAGAGAACTTGGTGACAAAGCGGAGTGTGGCCAGCAAAGTGCAAGGGGTTCATGAGGAAAGGTTGATTTGGCTTGTTGAATTTTTATCTTGCACAAAAAACTTCTTTCACTACCAGAAAAGACACTATTTTCTGTTTCACTGTTGGCTTTTAAACATTCTAAACTTCAGAGAGTTAAAGCTAAGGCTTTAAATTTTTTACTTTACTTCCCCTTGCTTTGGTCCTTGCTTTGCACGGGAAGGTGGCCTAAATGCGTTTTGGTAAGCATGTCACTGCTAGCTAGGAGGTTGTAACCACATGTAGGTGTGCAACAGAAATCTTACCTGAATGTGTTTATTCTCCTTTTGAAAAAGAGAGCTTTTAAATACAGCCACACACAGAAAGGAAGACTTCTGCTATTGCTATAATTATACCAGTGGGGTTTCTGTGTTTACAAACTCTGAAGTACAAAAATTTCTGGTTTGGTTTGGTTTTGTACTTTTTTTTTCTGAAGAAGCACTTCTCATAAATGCTCATAATGCTCAATGCTCAGTAAATCCAAAAGTCTGTAAAGTGAACAGTTCACTTCAACTTTTATTTGTGTACTTCGAGATTTAAAATCCACAAATGGCTTTCACTGTTAAGTCCTTTTTTCCCTGAACTATGATTCCATTTGAGTCATTAATAGAGACAGCACAAAGTTAATGTGGGGACCAGTTTGTACTTCAGGTAGAGGCTTGCATATTTATCTGTTTACTCGTTTTCATTTTAGACAATTTTTTTGAGCTTAGTTTATATGAGAGGGCATAGGGCAAAATTTTGGTTCCACTGAATTTTAATGTCTTCAATGTGGTCAAGGTTTCATTCTTCTCTTTCCTTCTAGCATTGTTACTTTAATCCTTGCCTTCAAATGCAACTTTTATAAAACACAGGTTCATTTCACAGGATTCTAGACTCTTAGTTCACATACGTTGCCAATTATCTGTATGCAAGAGGATTGTTTTTACTGTGGCTTAATAAGTTAAGAGGCTTAAGACACTGTCAGTAGACAGGTAAGAGCTCTAAATCTTGGGTGTATGCTTTTGTTACACGTACACGCCCTGTTGACTTGAAATTCAATAGACTACTTGCAGGGCYAGGCATTATAAGGAGATGGAGGAAATAAAAACCATGGTCAGGATCCCTTTGGCTCATGAGAAAGGGACACTACGTTCTTGTTCATGTCAGAGTTAACTACATCTTAATTTTCCTATGTCAACTGGAAACTTCTTGTTGTGCTTCAGCATAAAAGRGTACACTTTATTGGTACAACTGCTGTAGCTACGGAAGTTCCTTCTGTGTATTGAGATGATATAAAGTAAGACTTATTTAAGTGATTTTTATTTTCTCGCATTATACTAGAAAGTAATTGCTACTTTGTCCACTAATATTGAGGTTAATTATTTTAAAAACAAAGCCAGAACAATTGCAACGTACAGGTCCCTTAATGAGCACAGATGTAGCACTCCAAATTCAGCTTAAAGTTCTGCTTGAGTTGCATAGAAATCAGAATACTTTTCTGAACATGCATGAGGATGAACGGAAATTTTTGGTTTTACATTCTAGATTTAGCAAAAAGTTTACAAAATATACATGYACCTGTGTTACTATAGAATCCCTAGTGGCTTACAGGCATTGATACATCCTTATGTTTTAATGATGCTGAAACTTTTAAATAAACTTTTAAAAACGTGTTTTGGAGTGAAATGAATGCCCCTAAGTCAAAAATCATGTGCATAAAATGGATATTGTGAATAAAATAYAAGTATGTTAACAGGTAATTGACTTAGTCCTCTTTTGAGAGAGTTATTTTATATAAAACAGTGATTTATATTGCAAAATGTGCATTATGTGGTACTATATTTGACAATACTTAGAAAAATGTAGARAGGAACCTAGTTTGTATGTTTACGTTTCAGAAACACTACTAAAATCTGGATTTATCCTCAAGCATGTCTGCAAAATCAGACATGGAATAGATTTATCAATATAAATTGAGATTTTTTGAGAAATTTTCATATGTTAGTATCAAGTTTTTGGATTATATATGACTCTTTTTCTGTTTCAAGTTTTTATTTACATGTTGATCTTTGATTCATATAATGCTTATGAAATTTGATTATGATAAAGTAATATTTGGCCCTTGTTTATAMATGCCAAGCAAGCATTTTAAATACTTAGTACTTTCTAAAATTGTGCTTAGGTAATCTTAACAGTAAACTTTCACAGGTATAATTTGAAAATATTTCCGCTTTATTCAGCATGTCCATGGTGCTTTCAAAGCAGTAGAGCAATAAATCCCTGTTGAGGAAAATGCAATGACCTGCTCCTGAAGAGTGAGTCAAGGTTTCTAGCATGGCATTTTTTGGGGAATGAGACCACATTTTGCAACATTCTGGTCTGTTGACAGTTATCCTGCCATAGATGCTGCAGTATTTTTTTTTCACACCCTTTTAAGTAGTCACAGGTAGCCTTAGCACAATGAAAATCCAACAGCATCTGTTTTCAGTCCACATGGAGGCTATTCTATAGTTTTATGGAAAACCTGGCATTAATTTCARTTGTCTTTGAATTAGAACTTCTGTTTTCAATATGGATTATTGTTGATGAGAGGGTAAAAAGAGATGTCCTTTTTTAAAGGAGAATGTAAATGCCAAATGAAAAGGAAGGTGGCAGGCTGCAGATTCAACTTCTGCAAAGTTGTTTTTTGGGGTGTTTTGTGCTGTGTGTTTGTATGTGTTTCTCCATTTGCCTGTTTCTGAGGTAGGAAGACCTCCTTAGTGCAGTTGTTGGTGGTCTCCTACCATGAAAAAATGCCCTACTCGGCAGCATGGTGACATGCAGAGCTCTGATAATTCTCGTTGAACTTCAGTGGGACCTGAACTTTTTGGTACTCAATCTCTAGCTTCTAATTCCCGAGTGCAATGTAACATTATGATAAAAGTTCATTGCCAAGTTGGTTAATTTGTGTTCGTTTAATAAGGGATGTAGCATTTGTTGACTTGCAGTGGTTGATATTTTTGAGCACATTTACAAAACTAGAGTGTTAAATTGAGGTGATAAATGAGTAGTGTAGAAAGGTTTTGATCACCCACATTGGGTGAGATTTGATGTATATTCTGAAGCTTATGTATTACTAACTCTTGAGTTATTGAGAATAGGTACTTTGAGTCCTCTGTGGCAAATTTAACTAGAGACTCTACCTATAATAATGGCTTTGAGTCTGTAGTGCTACTACTGTTTCATATGACTGTGGTATCTAGAATTTCATTAAAAATCATGACAAATGAATTCAGGCTTAAATGCATTGACTTCCAAATATTTAGTATTAATATTGACTGACTTGACTCAGATTTTGCAAAGTACATGAAAATGCAGCATTTGACTCTGGGGAAAAAAACATGTCTTCAGGTTTAAGTGTCCCTTTTTAGTCTGTGAATGAAAGATCCATCATGATACAAATACTTTAAAAATGTAAGAGTATATTTCTGTACGGTAGACTTTTCTTTTTGCATGGATTTTTGCCTGTGCATTTAAATTAGCTAGCATTGTTTGCATAAGCAGAAAATTAACTTACTAACAAGCCTGCTGCATTTTGGGGTTCTTAGTCATGTAATATATTAATAAAACAAATGGAAATATTTTCAGCAATTATGAACTTGTTTCAAAGGCCTTTGGTACATATAAAGTGAGCAATATACATTTGAAGTCACTTTATTGTTATTAAAATATAAATCTCACAGAGAAATATGTGGGTATTAGCACAGTAATTTTGTCTTGATATGAAATGACTGTTAAACTATTGTTTTCTTTTCAACTCATTCCTTTCATCGTAATTCAAATTTAAAATGACTTCATTAGGTTATATTTTTATATATATGTATTCAATTTTAAAATATAATTGGATAAAATGAGAAATGTTACTGTAAGTATTATGTTGATTTTGGTGATAAGAATTTTGGAATAAAATACCTCTGAATTAACATGTCTTCTCTGAATATCTTTTCCAGGAATATTCCTTTTTTTCCTCTTTTTTTTTAAACTATACATTTAATTCATCTGAAAATATTTCCCAGTGTATGTTTGTAATGCATAGTAATCTACTAAATATGAAAAGTTCACATTGTGCAACTTCTACTGTCTCAGTACAAAAGCATTTATTAATCTCAAGGAAAAATTATTACCTGTTAAGATAATATATCAAAATATCTGTAAGATCTGTTAAAAATATATTTTTTGTCATCATAACACAACATCGCTCAAAATCTGTTTCCCAGTAGTATTTTTTTCAGTTTTCATAGGTGCTACATCGCTATGGATGATGATCACCTTTTGCCTTTTTACTAGGAAAATTCTGGAAGAGATAGTATTTCTGGTTTTTTAATAAATTTCTTAGTTTTTAATTCTTGTAACAGCTGTATTCACTTTTGTGAGTGGAGTGGCAGTAAATATTTTGATGGTCAAAATAAAGGGATACACTTTCATAGCAATACTTAATTGCTACTTTAGTTGAAGTATTAAACAGCTCAATATAATTTGGTTAATTCTTAGTATGGAACACTACAACTTCAATATAGAGAGGAATAGACTTTACATTTTATTGWGTATTTGGATGAACACCTCAATAGCTGTTTTGTGGGGCATGTTATATTCCTCTTCAGCATAATTTCAAAAACTTCACTACTGTCCTCTGAGTCAAAAAGGCCAAATTGCTTTTTCTGGAAGCCCTTATTTTAAATAAAATGTCTGCAGCCCTGAAGTCACCAGGCTTAGCTGAGGCTGGAAGTTTCACCCCCCTGGGCTCTCAGCTCTTGGGTTACCTGACACCCGTGCCAGCTACAAGGGAACTACAGGAATTAATTTTCAAATGGTCCCAGGTGCGGCTGTGCATGTAAGTGCATCTCTGCTCTGTGTATGCTAATATACCCCCCCGCGTTAATTCTAAAGCCGAGACGGTTGGTACGGTGGCGATGATGGTGAATATTTATTCACCTCCCACTGAGGCTGCCTGCCCTGCTCGAAGTGACACCCCGTCCATGCTGGCCGTGGACCCCCCGAGGGCGCCTCCCCGCTGCAGCGGCCGCCACTCGACACCAACCGCCG